AACTGGAACAGCCATAACCATGTAGAATACTCTAATTACTTGCTCAGTTCTTTTGTGTGTAAAAATACATACAGTTAATCAAATTGAAGCAGTGATGCTAGATGTACTGAAATTTTTTGAAAGTAATTCTTTTTTTTTTTTTTTTTTTTTTTTTTTTTGGAGAAATGAGTAGTTTTATGAATAAAGAAAAAGAAAAAACTTCCAAAAACTGTTCTATGCTATTAAATATCATGCTGTATTTTAATACTATGCAATTGCAGATACAGATACAAATGTCTATCTGACAGATCTATGTCTTTCAGTAAGTCCATCCCTATGTTTTGATTCTAGCAGTACTACTTCTGAGCTCTAAACTGTCATCAAAATCTATAGGAGTTGCATGCGGTGTATATATACATATACACTTTGGTAAGTAATACTAATATTGTCAGTCCAAGATCACCGTTTTTAATATATTAATTATCTCTTTTTATTTCAAGATTAAAAGTAATGTAGAACAGACTACCAAATAGAAATACGAGTTTTTAATACGTGTTTTTGCTGGCAACTCATGGCCTATGTATAGTTAATTATATGCTTATAACTTTCAATCTTTGAACTTTTTAAAGTCAAAAATTATCCTTTGATTCAAAGTCTGGTTGAAATAAATTATGTTTCTTTGGGTCTCAGATCCTCTGAAGCACTCACTAGGAATCTTCTCCTTTCTGCATAGCCCAAATCGAACAGTTGTGCTACTGCAGCTTAAGAAATATCCAGTAGCTAAGTCACAGCAGTGCAAGGTGCTTGCACTCTCCTACACACATGACAGTTTGATCAACTGTAATCCTCTTGTATTACAAACTAATCTTTTGGATTCTCTTGTGGAAAGACATGGAGTCTTTACATGTTTAATTATTTCAATATAGCTGATATTCCAAAACGTGATTATGCAGTTAAATTCTTTTGTAGGAGAAAAAGTTTAAATGTGCAGCTGTTATCCAAGTGCTACTGAAATTTCAATGTGGAGAAAAACTTGATATCTCCTTCATAATCTCTGAAGTGAAGCTACTGGAGTACAGAATGAATTTTTCAGAAGCAGTTTCAAGAGTAAGAAGTGCTTCTGGGAAAAATTAAATAATTTGCCATCTGCTATACAACAATACACCAGTACAGTTCAGGGAATCTCTTTTCTTGGAAATCTTTCCAAAAGCCATCCTAGCTTGATTTGTTAAATTTTGAGAAATTAACATAGGCACTTGTTGTGGTAATTTTTCTTCAGTTTGAGGTAGTATTACATTTATTTGCAATTCCAGCAGGATGTCTACGATCGATAAGTATCAGGATTCAGATTTCTAAATTATGTAGTTAACAGTAGAAATTGTAGGCCAGTGGAACTAGGGAGAAGTTCTATCAAAGTAAATCATAACTTGTTTTTGGGGACCAGGCAGGGAAGAGGCTTGCATTCTTAAAGTCTAAGAAAGTACCACAGGTACTCTAGTGCTGTCACAGAAGAAACAAAGGCTGCAGAATACACCTCAAGTAAAGGTGTATAGTAAATAAAATGAACAAGCAAATTCATTTTAGATGGACACTGATCATTAATGCGGTAACGATCAGATCAATAGAAATTGTACTAATAAACTAATCATTGTGTTTTGTGTTTATTGATTGTAATATGCTGCCAACTTTGTACTGTAAATGTACAGAAGGTCTCTGTATTAAAAATGAATTATTGGAAGAAGGGAGCACAAAGAAACACAGAAAAAAATAGGTACCTGATTGCTGGATCTGACTAGGAGTTAATTTTGTTCTTAGCAGATTGTAAGGTTTTGGATTTGTGACTAGAACAGTGTTGCTAACACTATCAGTGTTTTGGTTTTTGCTGAACAGTGCTTGCACAGCATCAAGGCTTTCTCCGATTCCGCTCTCCCTGGAAAGAAGATTGGTGGGAAGGGATGGTTAAGAGATTGTGTGCAGACACAGCCTGCTCAGTCAACCCAAATTGGCTGAAGAAATATTCTACAACAAATCCATCATGCTAAGCAATAAAAAGCAACAGTTTGGCTTGTGTGGTAGCTGTTGCTTGGAGACTGGCTGAGTATTAGTTTCCTTGTAGCAGTTGCAAGTGAATGCTTTTGCATTAGTAGTATTGGGTTTTATTTTACTTTTTTTTTTTTTTTTTTTTTTAACCATCTTTATCTTGTTTCAAGATTTTTTTGTACTTTCTCTTCTTATCTTTTATGCCATTGTAGATGGGGCTTAGTGAGTGACTTGGTGCTTGGGTGGTTGGCTGCTGACAGGGGGCAACCCAGCACAACCTGACATGTCAGTAAAAGTGAGGCTACCCTTAAATGTATATTTACAAAGTCTCCTATTTTACATATCATGGTGAACTACAAAAACACTTTAATGAAGTGAGGGAGACTGAATGGACATCAGGGAAGAGTGCTCTTAAGAACTACTTCAACATACAGTCATTCTTTTTTGGTTGCTCTGACTTGCATAATATAGCTTTTGTATACTTTTTGTTTTGTTTTTATTTTCAATTTAATGGTGATAGAGGATTTATATTAATTCAGACAAAAGTTATCATTTAATTTGGCCTATTGTAGGTTAAAAATAATATAAAAAAAGGATGACATAAAAACTTTCAACAGGATATCCTGAGTCTGTATAATCCAGTATCTGGGTATATGTACTTCGTTTAATCTTAACGTAGCATTCTGAAGCCAAAACCTAGAGAATTATGAATTAACTTAAGGCAAACCTTGAGTTTATTTCTCCATTATTTTTCTTTCTGTGGACTTATGAGTTTGCTGTGGTTTGTGAGATAACAAGTCTTCCACGTTTAGTGCTTCTCTCAGCTGAGACTGAGAAGACTGTAACTTATAGGACCTCACTTATTTAATGGACAATATGGTTCAAAATAATTTTTACATTGACTTCAAATGTCCTTCAGCAACCCCCTTTTCCCTTGTTGACGTCACTTCATACCAGCCCTCACATAGTTCTAGATAGAGATCAAAATATTTAAGTTTTTAGCTTACAAAGTAATTTCTGAGAGTTTTATATGGAATGTAAAATGGGATTTCAAATGGGAAGTGCTGTCTCAGACATAAGTGCCAGATAGTAATGTGCAAATCTGTAATAGCAGTCTTAGTGAAAAAAGGAAATCATGTATAAAATATATTTTATGTGGTCATTTGAAAACTTTACTACTAATGATAAATACATATTTTTTTCATGCTTCCAATTTTACACTGGTACTTTGTTGAAAGTACAAAATTTAAGTGGTCTAAGAATAGAAGTGACCACACTTTTCTTTCTCATCTCCCCATGCACACTACATTTTTATCTCTGTTACTTCATTTATGTTGGGATTTATTTTTATAGCAAATGAAAAGATGCATAAGCCGAAAATAGTAAATCTTTGCTTTTTTCATAAAAAGAACATACAGCGGAATAAAATGTGTTATGTTGCATATAGCAAATAGGCTCAAGTATTTTAGTAAGTATAGACAGTGTAATATTAAGGATAATTATCAGTGCCCATCTGGAATGTTTTTTTTTTTTTTTTCTTTTTAATGCTGGCTCATATAAGCAAAAAGAAACAACCAGGTTGAAATGAGATAATTCAGAGCAGAGTACAAGTTTAGATTTTGTAATTTTTGATGGTAAAACATTATTGTGAAAACTGTCATGGTGGAATAATTTTGAAAAGAAAGTCTTGTGCATCTTGTGATAATCTTCCATAAAGATTGTCTATGAACAGCCAATTAATGGAAGTTTATTTTCCTAGGAGATTATGACCCCGAAATCCCCTCCCAACCCAACAGTCTTAGCTACATTGCTGCATTATCCTTTGTTCACTTTCTCTATCATATTTTATACCCTTAGCTATTACCAACTTATGTTTAAAGTTATGTTTAAATTAAAGTTCTTCTTTTGCCACCTTTTTGTTAGTTATGTACTTGTAGCAGCCATAATTTGAAAAGGAAACCCTAAGTACTTTCTTTGGAAAATACCCCAAAAGAAAGATAATCCAGTCAAAACTGAAATGGACCACTGTTAGAACAGAAAGCCTAACAGAAATCCCTCAATTTACTTAATATTAACATATCTGGATAAATATTAAGCCTTTGGTCTTGTCTTTTCCTACTTATGAGACTAATAGCAGAAGTGTTTAATATCCAACTGCGAATATATAATATTTTTAAGGTACCAATGTCAACAGAATATTCCAAAGACTTCTCTGAAAGTAGACTGTATTTTGAACATAGTTGTCTTTGGGTCTTTGAAAATTACATTCCTAAATGAGTAGGCAGTCAAGATTTTAATTTTTTTTTACCATACATCCAAGCTTTTCTAGACTGAAGAAAATGCTTTATGCGTCCCATGTAGAGTATATGTAGGAAGTGCCCATTACAGCACATGCATGCTGTCATCTATTTGAGCGTTCACAGTATTCTCTTTCCTAAGAACATGCCACTCTAATTTTCTTTCCATTCTTTCCTTGTAGTCAGTAGGATTGTGAGCCAAGGGCACCAGATTATGAGGGTGTAGAAAGTGTAGAGTTCTGCAGACCCATGTTTTGCAGGGGAAAGGAAGGATAAGAGAAGAAGAAAAGGTGTAAAAAGTTTGTTTTCTGTGTAAATTGATGTCAATCACTGTGTTTGTCTGGCCAAGCCCTGCATCTGATAGTTTGTCCTCTCTACTTATTTTTCTCAACTGTTCATGCTTGTGTTGCACAAAATTTAAAGTAAATAAATACATAAATAAATAAATGCTCAGTTATCTCAGAAATTACCAGCATTTAACACAAGTGCATTTCTTTGTTCTTCCTAGAAAAGTACATTAAATTAATGGTGTGAAAATGAGGTTAATTTTTCAGCGATCAAAAGACTACAACTGTTTACTCAGTGGACCTTTTTAAAGGCAGTTCTCTCCCAGAATGAAACAATACATAAGGAGAAGTCTCTGAAGCCTTTGGTAATCTATTTTCATTTTCTCTTCTCTTTCAGCTGATGGATGCACTGACTGGTCTGTGGATTACAAGAAATATCAAGTTCTAGTGGGAGAACCTGTTCGTATAAAATGTGCGCTCTTTTATGGATACATTAGAGCTAATTACTCCCTAGCCCAAAGTGCTGGACTCAGCTTGATGTGGTACAAAAGCTCTGGGCCAGGAGATTTTGAGGAACCTATAGCTTTTGATGGAACTAGAATGAGCAAAGAAGAAGATTCTATTTGGTTCCGACCAACAGTGGTACAAGACAGCGGACTCTATGCATGTGTTATAAGGTATTATATTTTAATATATTACATTTAAATAATATATATATGTATATCAGTCATGGCTCTTAATAGTAAGACTTTTATGCAAAGAAAAATGTTTTTTGATTTTTTGCTTTTTCTTCTTCTCTTGCTGTTCCTTCCCTGAAATTTTTTATGTTAATTAGAAATTACAGTTGAATGTTTGGGATATTTGGAGGGGGGGAGGGAGTTGTATTAATTTATTTATTGCAATATCCAACATTCATAAGGTGGGTAAAACTGGACGTATAAGTCTTATGTTGCTGCTTCTGATTCTAGTTTAATTCCTAAAATGTTTTTTCTGGAGTTAAAAGTTCATTTTTCATATTTGGATTTCTTTTTACATGAGTTTTGTTCTTTGGTTTCTTTTAATTCTTTTTCTTTTTTCTTTTTTTTTTCTGTAAAAAGGTGCTATTTGATGTGAAGTTTGACTTTGCATGAATTCAAATAGAGTATAATTATGAAGAAGTTTCAAAAATTTTTATGGATGTACATATCCTAATCACAGCTGATTTAACCTGATAATGGAGGCTTGATACCAAATGTCTTCCAAAGGTATTTAAGGTTCAAGGCATCAAGCCTTATCACCATACCTTAGTCTAGATTCTAATTCCTGCTTTCTAAAACAGATGTAGAGCTTCTTTCTCTACCTTTATAATGCTTTGCACTGAGGTATTTTTTCCAGCACTTCAATTCAAAAAGATTATCTAGGCAATTTGTTATTTTCTAGCAGATTTATACAAGTTTTAACTTGATTTGAAATTACACAAAGTAGAATCACAGGTACAGAGAAGAGTTGCTACTAATTGTTGTTTGAGGGTTTGAAATGTTTGGTTGTACTTAGGTGAACAGATGAAGCAGCGTTCCACTCTTTCAGCCTATCTATAAGGCAGTGTTGCTATTCACACACCATAGAAAAAAGAAAGAATAAGGCAGCTGAAGGACTAGACAAGAAATGCATAATGAAACTATTCTATGTTACAAGGAAAATGAGAAAGCACCAGAAGAGGCCCGTGATATTTACTGTCTACTACTCTTCCTTTTGTGGGGGTTCAGGAAGGCAACACTGTCTGAATTGTGCGTGGTGAAAGATTTTTTCACTGGACGTGGTTTTTAACATTTGTTTCTGAGCTCTTTGCATAATTTGTGAGAGGCTTGGTATTGCATCATTTCTTCAATAATGTTTTCAGTATGTTTCTTCTTCTGATCAGGATGGCTTTCTCTTTAAGAAAATATTGCACATTACGCTACTTAGGGGGAATATTTATGCTTAGATTAATGTTTTGAAGTGCATAACAGTAGCCATGAAGATGGCAACACTTTTGTCAGTTATTCCATAGCTCTCACTCTTTAGACAAAGAAAACTTCAAACATCTGATATTGAACTTTGTAAAAGTATTAGATAAATGCTTCATTTTGATAATCAGTCATTCTTTAAAATTTGTTCATCGTTTCAACCTGTGTTAATGTTTTATCTAAGCATATTTTTTTTAAACTAATAGAAACTTTTTCTAATCTACTTTAAGCTGCATCCTGCTTTTGTAGCACGTGCTTAATTTCCAACTGTCAGTGCTCTGATGTGTTGAGAGAGGAGAGATTATAAAAATAATAATGATTAATTTGTGATCCTGAATTACTCTTATGATAAGATAAAAAGTCTTATCAGTTTGGGTAGATCCACTGGTATAAGCAGGTTGGAGAATACACAGAAGTCTCTGCCTATTATTTTATATTAATGTTTCAGATATAAATTTGTTTCATGGAACCTTTCAGTTGTATGATCAATGTGGTTACTGGTAGAAAACAGCATCTTCATCTCAAATTGTTTTATGCTTACTGTGAAAGATTACTTTGAAATAGTTTTGGATGTCCACTTACAATCAAATTTAAAACAGAATAATTTATGTTCCTGAGATAAACATATATTCAGTATTTTTATCAGAAATAAGTAAAATAAATTCCTCAGCAATCTTTTTCTTCATTTGTTTCTTCAGATTCTTACACTATATACTATCTGGAGAAAAAAAAAAAAAAAAAAAAAAAAAAAAAGAAGGATTAGAGAACAAGAACTGTAATTGCTGTCAGGGATTGTGATGAAGCTGGCAGAGATGAGATTTAGTTGTTTTTTGTTTGTTTGTTTTTTGCACATTAGAAGTTTTTTTTTTTCTTATTTTAATGAAGAGAGCTTTATATACCTTCAAAACGATATTATGAACTATTTAGTTTTGAAGACTTAATTGAGAAGCTCAATTAAAAGTCCAAGTAAAAAAACAATGTTCAGTGTGATTCTTGCAACAATTTGAATAGATCAGGAACGAGAGACTGTCTGTAGTAACAGGCAGTAAAAAGCAAACAGTGAAAAGGAGAACTGAGCTTTGAATAAATGGTTCTTCCTCGAATTCTCGATTCTTACTCGAAGGGCCACAAGGCCTTGGCACAGCTGCCCAAAGAAGCTGTGGTGCCCCATCCTTGGAGGCACTCGAGACCAGGTTGGATGGGGGCCTGAGCAGCCTGAGCTGGTGAGGGCAGACCTGCCCATGGGAGGGACTAGGGCTGGGTGGGCTTTACTTTTGCTTCCAACCTAAACCACACTATAATTCCTGGTTTCCATTTCAGATCTGCTTAAAGAAGTGAAACACTCCAGTACTTGCTTTTTTTTTTGCTTTTTTTTTTTCCCTCAGCAACACCTTCTTTTGCAGTTCTGCGCCTCTGCTACCTGTGCCAACAGTAAGGAGAAGAAATTGCAAAGGAAGTATTTAAAAAAAAAAAAAAAAAAAGCTAGCTACATATTAAAAAAACGTTGGTGGACCAAACTAGTTTCTACAATGAGTAGATTGCAGTTGAAACATGAGATTTTATTGCCTAGGGGAGTTGATAGTTTTAGAAAAATTAGACTTAAGATAGCAGTAGCTCTTTTTACTTCAGAAGCAAAGAAGCAACTTTAACCCTTATTTACAACTGTTTGCAGTACTCTTATCTTTAATTTATTATCTCCACTTTTCTTCTGATGAAAAGCTGATTCAGAAGCTGAAAATTCAGAACATCAAGACTGAGTTCTTATTACCAAGGAACTGATGCATACCCATAGCTGGAGAAGTGAGGACAGAAATAACTTTCAGCTTGCAGCTGTCAATACAAGGTCTAATGCAACTGGTAGAAAATGTATGAGCTTACATAGTGCTTCAAAGAAAGACAATAATGTTCTTTGTTTCAGGCACCACTGCATTAAGCCTTTCAGTGGTTATTACATCACACAGTTGCTTGTTGTGTATAGGGGCTGTAGCAAAACTAGATGAGCCATACAAAGAGAGAAAGTATATATTGAACTTCAGCATGCAGAAATTGTTTATATAAATACACATACACACCTGGCATAGGAGCCAGTGCATACTAGTTTCTGTCAAACTTCACCTCCTTCAGTGCTGCAAAAAAAGTTGAAATACTATCATTCTGTTAGATTGATATTATCTTACAATTTTCATTTTTCTTCCCTGTCTCGAAACTTTTATAATAGTATGTCCAATAATGTCCCAATATAATAACAGCTGATGTGAGTGGAGCCTGAGAATAAGGAGGACAACAGATTTATATTAAAGTACTACAGTGATCTCTATTGCAAAAACATGAAATAGGTTTTTTAAATTCATTCAGATAGGGTTTTGCATTGGTATGTCAGTTAGATAATGCTTAGAAATCATGTTTACCACCTCATTATAGTGTATGTAGGAATTCAGGTATCTTTTTAAGTTGAAGATGCTCTTAGTAACTAGTGCGTTTGTTCCTTATAAAATCATGTTTTATAGTAAGGTTTATTTTATAACTAGAAATTCTCCTTCTAAACATAATGTATTGTACCTTATACACTGTGTCCTTAAATAGTATAATTCTCCTTTGTCCTCTGTCTGTCCTTAATAATGGTGGTTGGAGTTGGTTGGATAATTTTATTTACTTTTCTGTAGTCTAGTCTTTGTAAAAGGCTTTTGTTTTTAGGTGTTTACAAATATAATTGCTGAGATAATTAGCGAACACATATAAGTGAACAAGTCCTGTTCAGATACATGAGAGTGACTATAAACAAAATATCAGTTCTAGAAAAATATATATAACAGAAGAATTTAAAGTTAACAGCCATGATTTCACCAGTGGTGAAGGGAAAAAATACAGTTAGTTCCTTATATGAAATACTTCATTCAGTAGTAAATCATGTACTTTCAGGCACTTGAGAAAATAGAAGGCAAAGGAAATAACTGAAACAGCTTATGGATACTTTCAAAACTATTTTGTTTCCAAACATTGTTTTTAGATTTCTTTCTCTTGCTTTCAGGCAAGCCAGACCTCAAAGATGCTTTAGGCTTGATAAAAGTAATAAAATAGCACTAAATACTTTGTATCCAAACAGTGTATCTCTTTCTTGTTCTGTTATGATAAAGTGAGTGTTTACATGTAAACATAACCTAAATAAAGATGCATATTGTGGTGACTTTTATTTCATAATGAATTTTTTGGCCAATTCCAATGGCGAATGTAGTCTTAAATTGGTAGAGTTACAGATATAGATATATATTTTATATCTTCCAGGCATAATGTTTACAAGCCCATTTGGCAAGTCAAACTATTTGTAACACTGAAAATAATGTTATGCAGAAAATCTCTCTATAGAGAAAAACTAATGCTAATTGCATCTTGGTTGCTTATTTAGTGCTGCCATCTGTCAAATTAGCACTGGCTTCTAATCCTGGCTTTGCTAGTTTCATAGGTGGTGTGACTGACCCAACAGGTCTGGAGGTATTTAATTGCAAAGGGTGAAAAGGTGATGATCAGACATCAAGATTTGCTCCATGGTTTTAGTTCAACCTTTTGATGCGGGAAGGATTATGATATAACCTTTGAGTACTAAATATAGACTTCACTTAGAAAGCTAATCATTACTGAACAGTGAGGAGGGCTCCTATTTTCATTTATTGCAAGTTTACTGTTCACATGTAAAT